TATCTTCAGACTGAGCTACACTGCAGGGGAGGACTCTGCCCTCTGATGAGAGAAGAAGAAACATAATTATCTCAGTCTTTCATATCTAAACCTAGAGAAAGACTGGCCAAAAATTGTAAGAGGAGTTGTAACTGAAAAAACTAATTAATTAAACCTTTCACATGGGATCACAGTAGTTATTAAATAAGAATTCCACTGATCAGAATGAGATTCTGACGTGCTTTAGAACACAGGTGTCCTTGTGGAAGCACACAAAGCAACCATTTTCCAAACAGAAGAGAATAGGAATGTTTAAGAGCAACACTGGCAACAAATTATTGAATTTCTACCGTTCAGAATATTCTGAGAAGGAAAATGCAACTTTTTTACCTATTGTAGTTAGAAATCATCAGCCATAGGAATTAAAATGATTTGGACATCACTGATGAAAAACAGCTCCTTTAATTGCAGATTTATCACATTTTGTTTTCTTCTTGTGTTAATCAGAATCATTCAAAGTCCCTGCCTGTAAGTGTTATTAAATTCAAACAGTCCCTCTGCTGACTGGAAGACTTATTGTATATAAACACACTGCCATATGAAATTGTATACGGTGCTTTTTGAAAGACCCTGGTGTGGAAAAACTGAAGCAATAAGGCTCCACAAGTGAAAAAAAAAAAAAGCACTTGAGCATAAAACAAACATCTGTTTTAATACAGATCCAGAAGTAGAACAGCTAAAAGTTTCATGAGTGAATATAGTTTTGGCACACTCGCTTTTCTTTAAACAGTTTGAGTGAGTGAGAAAGCACGTGGAAGTGCTTGTATGACCTCCCTAAAAGAGTCCAGATGCTCCATTTTGCAGCACTGCCTGTGTTAATGGGCTTCACTCTTTAAATTCAGTGCACAGTCCTCAGCTATTTTAGAAGAGCGACTGATACCAGGAGAAGAGTCCTAAGGTCCTCAGGCAGCAGGTCAGAATGCTGACATGTCCTGAAAGCCCCTGTCTCCCAGCCCAGCCCTTCCCAGCCCAGCAGATCTTTCCTGGCTTACGCTCCTTTGCTTCTTAGCTCTTCAGATATGTCGGACTACATTGTTCACTCCCAGTCTTTATCCCTACAACCTCTGCAGTCCTACACCTTGAGACAGGTGAATGCCAACCTCTACAACCTCTGATTTTACCCTAAACAAACAAGGCTGTATATGAAGCAGGAGCTAAATTCTCCAGGCCCAAGGCCTCTGTCATGTCAGGCTGTGGCCTCAGGACTGATGCTTGGAATGAGTTTCATGGTTTTCTGTGAGGAGGAGGATCTAGAAGACAAGTGAAAGTAGGTTTTGAAGTACCTAGAGAAAGCAGAGATCAGCAGATTTCTTTTTCTCACTTTACTATTACTACGTCAGACAATCTCCCACTTAGCAAAAAAAGCTGCAGTGGAGCTCCCTTCAAACACTGGACTTTCTCTGCTAATTGTACAGGATGCCTGTGTACCGAACCCAAACACCGACAAATCACTTGCCCCTCCTACTTACTACTGAGATTTATCCAGACTCCTTAACTCCTGCTTTCCTCTCTTCAGCACAGCCATTTCCCTCCAGGTACAAATTACATGCTTCCTCTTCCCTGTGTCTGAGCACTGCAACTTCGGGATGGATGAAGGAAAAGAAAGGCATCAGTTCTTTAAAATAAAGGTCACCAGACACCTGAAATGGCAAAACAAGACGTTTTTCCCAATAATGATTCCTGTAAGCAGCTGAAATTTTTTTTCTGAAAGGTTGCAAGTAGTTAGCTGTTGATGAATGCAGGGATAAAAAAACCACTTCAATAATATTTTAAATAATCCCAGAGCCTATCTCCCCTCAAGCTTCTTTACTTCAGAAGACAACACACACTTCCTTCTCCAAAACACAGCCAAGAACTGACATTTCACCAGCACGTGCACAGCAGTGCAATAAAACACCAGCACACCCAGAAGCTGTTTTGAAACTCACGTCAAGGCAAGCAGAACAAGATCAAGGTATGGAAATGACGACAAAGGTCTAGCTGAGGAGACGGCCAACTTTCCTTCCTGCTGCCTGCTGTGCTGCTTCCCATTACATTTGATGGAGGTTTAAAAATATTGGGCAGCCTGCTGGAGTTGTCCCAGCTGCATCCAGCTGAGAACAAGCTCAGGCAAAGAAAATTCCCAGTTTCTCCCTTGCTTCTTCTTCTGTAAGTAAGGCTGCTGCTCATCAGTTAAAGGAAGCAGACTCATTAAGTGATATAACCTTGGCAGTTTGACTGTACTCCCAAAGCTTTATCATATTGCTCATTGCTATGAGGGACCCATTGCTGCACCACAGTAATAAACGTTTCTATACTTTGTGTGCAAGAAGAATCAATAATCCTTAGCACAGAGCTTTTAGTCTAATAAAGATATAGATGCGAGATGTTATCACTTGGAGCTCTCCAAAAAAGGCAGCCTTTCAGCCTTCAATATCAGCCTGACTCTCTTGCTTCTTCTGGTCCTCTCACAGAAAAAAAAAATCCCATTAATTTCAAAGAAACTTTCAACAGATGAGGTCACACGTTTTGACCCATAACACTTCTGACATTTAAAATAATTGAATCTATTGTTGCGGCAAAAAAAAAAGGCTAATAAAATACTTGTATTAGTATTTATTTTTAATAATTACTGATGTTCTGTACAGGTAGGAAAGCTTGGGTGCATGCCTGCAGGACACTAATGGGTTTTTTTTTCTCAAAGCATCACATTCATCAGTGCACTAGAAGAAAATAAACCTGTATGAGGAAGTATCATGCTGACTCTCATTATGCCACCTCATAAGCTTGTCCTTTGATTCACTGTAAAAATTAAATATATTCTCTCAGTGAGATCAGAGGTATTAGACTAGAGTTCATGGAAACACAGGTGGAAAAGCACTAGTTTTTTGTATATCATTATAATATTTTGTATTACATACGGTAGGTTCAGTCAGTGCTACTGAATTGTCAGATAGAAGTCTGACAGGATTCTGCTGGATTCCCATTCCTCAGGGCTGTGGATGATGAAAACTGTGGGGTCCCCAGCTCTGATGCAGTCCAGAAGCAAGTCTCCCCCAGTGCTTCCGGCAGAGTGCTTGGCAAATTTGACATCTGTGTCAATTTTGCTGTAGTTATTAGCAGGGGAGCTGACAAGAATACCAATTTTGCCAAGCAGCTGCAGGATATTGTTGGCTTACAAGAAACAGGAAAAAAAAAAAGGTTTTGGATTCAGCTGAAATCAAACTCAGTACCTCAGTCAAACATTTCCTGCAAACTGCATACCCTGCTTTTAATTTGTTCTTCAGACATTGAAGTCCCATTTACAAGAGAAGGAGATATGCTGGCTGGTCAGGTTAAGCTTCCTGAGAAAAGGAAGTACATCTTTTTCCTCTGGTTTTAATCCCTGCACGTTTTCCAAATTTTTTGGTAAATGGGGACAATCTACATAACGACACTTGCAATGCCCAGAGCAGACCATGCCAGGCATATTCAAGCCAGCTTCAACCTAATTAGTCTAACTCTAGTAGTATGCAGCCCAGTTCCAGTTCATGGAGCTGGATAAACCATATAAATAAATACAAGGGGCATTTCTGCACCCCACGGTGCATCCAGTATTGCTGTGGTTATGCTATGTAACCAGTGAACCCAGAATGCTGCAACTAGCTTCAAACTAGTTGTCACTAAAGCATCCACGTATCCAATGCTCCTTGTGAGCACTGCAAATTTCATAGAAATCCTTTACACTGCACTACAGTTATGGCTGCTACAGAACATGAAAGACAAGCTTTTTGTTTTGCAGAAACATGTCATTTTTGTGACAATAGTTTTTCAGCTGTCAAACCAAAAATACAATCACCAGTCAGAGTAACACAGCCATCCATTCCAGCTCATTAGTCCTTGCCCGACAAATCAGGGAGCAGCTTAAACACCACACAGTACAGTGCAGCCTTAGGTCTGAACCCTGCAAAATCTTATTCTGCATTTAGCCTCATGCATGAATTTGCACTTGGCTAAATCAGACTTCTTGTGCTATTATGGGTCATTTGGAAGAGTACAGGCTTAGGGATGTCAGAAAGTATACTCCAGCCCTGCCTGAAAGCTTCCACTGTGCACTAACAGGTCAGAGAGCAACTGGGCTACAATTCAAGTATCTTCTAGCAATTGCTTTGTTCCTAGCTCCAGTGAGAATGAAAAGAAGGCAGAAGAAAACTCATGTTTTCTCACAGACAAGAGTTAAGATTTGCTGAAACACACATAATTATTAGTCATCACGGAAGAGCAAAGAAAAGAAGCCTTCTAAGTAAGTAAAACAGAGTCTGAAACAAATCAGGTACATATTCTATGAATCAGTGCATGGATTCTTGGGAGTCGTGCTCAGGCAAATTTGCAATATAAAAACATGTATTTGCAGTTTTCTATATAAATGTACATAAATATATGTAGACATATATAAAGTGTTAAACTTTATACTTAAATACGTATAGACTTATATACATATAGAAAGTGTATAAAAGTGTATAAACAAATTAAGAAGTGTTAAATCAGGAATGTTAAATGCAATGACAGGAGAAGAGGTGTGGCAGGAAGAGAGATTTGTTTTTCTCAGAAAACAAGTGACACATTTTTCCAGCCCAATGGAAAAAATAATTTATGGTTACACGAATTACTCAAGAAAATGCCAACTCTTTTGCCCTTTCCTTTTCTGTTCCTCTCTTTGTATTTACAGAGTTTGATCGTGGTTATACCCTCCACTTGGTTTGTCTTTTCATTCACACCATTTCCTTTATCCACAGCCTGCTAAATCAGCATGTGAATTGCGGTGTTTATTTTTTCCTTCTTTTAAGAAAGGGCTGGTAACAAAGATCGCTTAGAATCTGAGAAATCTCTGCCAGCCAAGCCTCAACCATAAGAAGCATATAAATTGGGGCTGCATTAACAGCTTTTAGCCTTGTTGATCAAACAGTCCAAGATTAACAAACCAGCCCGACAGCGACTATTACCTGCAGAAGTGTGCTTGAATTTTTCACTCTTCTTCTTCCTCCATTTCCACGGCTTAAATAGCCTTCCAAGAGTGGCAAATTTGCTTCTTCTTCTGATTGGAGGTGTGTGTGTCCCAGGTACTAGAGAATCTGAACGCATTGCAGCCAGTCTTTCCACTTCCTCTGCTGCATTTTCCGCAAGAAAAGGAGAAAGAAACAAAATAAAAAAGTGAAATGGGTATTTTAATAAATTATCAGAGAACCACACAGATGGTAAATTTTTTCCATGGTTACAGAAACTACTAAAAAAGGGAAAAAAAGCATTATCTTTATTATTTTAACTTCATTTTCTTCTAATTGAACTCATGCTCTGTTACAAAGATCTGTATTAACAATAGGATTCAAGAGAAATTTGCATGAACTAATACTGACCAAGGGCAAGGATTACAACCCCTTGATATTATCACTGTGTTCACTGAAACTGTCTGGGTTCCGAAAGGGCCTACACCAGAGATTTCCTAGTGAAAAGGCGTTCAGAATCCAGAAGGTTCCTCTCAGTCCTATGTTTCTGCCAACCCAATCCCCTCCTTTTAAGTCTTTAAAACTAGAGACTTGGAGAACTTTAACACAGTCCACAGTCAGGGCTGAATTCTCTAAGGAGAGGCTATAGTCTTTCACTGAACTTCTGTTGTTAAAAGAAAAAAAAAGAAAATCTGCAGTCATTACATTGTAATGCATCAAGGAAGACTCAGTACTTAAACAAACCAACAGACAAATCTGAAGAATTTAAATTACCCTCCCTCACTGCAAGAGAAACCTGGGGGTTGTCACTTGGCACATTTATATTGCATGTTATTTCTTGAGGATATCATACACCAATCCATAAAAGGCCTATGAGAAGACCTAGGAAAATACTGACCTGTTAGTCTGCCCCTAGTCCCTGTAAAAGTTATGGAGAAGATTACTCTGAGATATATTGAAAAGCATGTAACAAAGAAAGCCATCATCAGGCACAGTCAACAGTATCATTTGTCAAGGAAGGTCAAATCTGATCTCCTTCTAGGATAAGGCCATCCACTTGCTAGATGAAAGGAAGGTGGTGGATGCAGTCTTTCTAGACTTCAATGGGATCTGGAGCATTGGGCAATCATCAGGGTAATGAAATTCAACAAGGGTATACACTGGGTCCTGCACATGGGATGGAGCAATGCCAGACAAGGGAACAGACTGGGAAATAAGTGGCTGGAGAGCAGCTCAGCAGAGAGGGACAAGGGGGTGTCAGTGACAGCAAGCTCAGTGTGAGCAGCACTGTGCCTGGCAGCCAAGGGGCAAAGCACATTTTGGGGTGCAGTAAGCACAGTACAGCCAGCTGGCCAAAAGAAGCGATTATCCCACTACTGGGCCAGCACTGATGGAGCATCACACTGGATATTGGAGTTCTGGGCTTCATAGTATAAAAAGGTTGTTGAAGTACTTGAAAGTGCCTGAAAGAGGCATCTAAGTTGGTAACAGGGCTGGAAGGCATGTAGTGTGGGGAGGGGTGCAGGACACCTGACCTCCTCCATATGGGACAGCACGAGAAGCCTTCATTGCTCTTTGCATCTCCCTGAAGAGAGGAATAAAAAAAAAAAGGGAGTCTAAAAGGGAGACGCCGGGCTCTGCACCTTCCTGGTAACCAGCAGCAGACATGCAGGAACAACATAGGCTGGTTCAGACTGGGAAACATTAGGAAACCTGTCTGTATGAAAAGTTCTGTTGAGAATGATCCAACACTGGAACAAGTTTCCTAGAAAAGTGGTACATTCCCCATGCCTGTCAGTGTTCAAGAGGCATTGGATAATGTGCTCAATAATGTGCTGTATCGTCTGTGAGCTCTGGAACGTTCAGGCGGATGGACTAATTGATCTCTGATGGTCCCTTCCAACTGAACTGTTCTGTCATTTCCCAGCCCCGTGTTGTAATGCAGCACTGCCAGGAAAACAGAGGAGAATGGTTTGCAAAAAGGCAGGCTAGATTACTAAAGGCAGGACACAGATCTTCACTGACACCATTCTGAAGTCAGCAGCTCAGTGTTTTCATTCTGCCAGCAGTATTTAAGGATTAACCTCAGTCATGAGCACAAGCTCTGGAGCCTCAACAAGAACAGAGCTCTGAAGGGATGAACACACCTACGCCATAGAACAAACCAGAGATTTTAGCTGTCAAATTCTTGTGCATCTCAATGGAAAATTTTGAAAGGCTTTAAGTGTGCCAAATTTAGGTTAGCTTCTGTGGAAACCCAGAGAGATGCCTCTAGCATGAAGGAAATCCCATTATCAGATCTCTAAACTAAAATATTATTTGAGCTTTTCAGGTTTTTTTCAAGGAAGTTGCTTATTTTGTTCTTGCTTATTTTTTTTTTAACATTGGCAACACAATTCTCCTTCTTGCAAAATATCACTGCCAGATACAGCCGCTTTTAAGTTTTTTGAGAAAAGACACGGGCTAAAGGGACAGAGAGCCAAGATGTATAACTGGAATTGGTAAAAAACAACTGTTCTTTGGGGCAATGGAGAGAAACAGACACCTCTGAGAACTTCTTTTTTTTTTTTTTCAAGAGAGGAAAAAAAGGTAGTCTGGTCAAACATTTCATTCTGTTTCAGCTCTTCATATTGTGCCTAACTGCCTAGAGAAATCCCTGCTTATACGGACAACCCATTACAAGGTACTGTCCTATGGAGGAATAGGACATGCTGCATCAAGGCTGCAAGTCACCAGGCTATGCTGAACACACATTATTGTGAAGGTAGAAAGAAGAAACTGGGTATTTCCTTATGCTTCCTGATTTCTCCGGGACATGCAGAGCTTCAAAAACCTGCAAGGGGTATATATAGATCAACTTACTCTATATGCAGATCCAAAGAGAGCACATCTTTCCCCATCTCCTCTATTTTTAAGATGCTTCTAGTTATAAAGAGCACAAGACTATGCTGTGATCCACTGCTGGGATTTTATACAGATGCTGCTAAAAGCAGTGGGCTGGTACTGTCTTTGCTGTCCTGCTTGAGCTACAAGGGGTGTAGGAGCAACGCACTGAACAAACTAGAAATGACAGACTACTGCTGCTGAATTAGGCTTTCTGCTACATAAATCCACAGTTGAAATATAATGAAATTCCTCCTGCTGCTTGCCCTCTCTCCCATGGCCCTCACTGAGACAACATTTCTGCTACCAAAGTAACCTACAGTAACTAAACGTCAGAGATGCAAAGCTCTTTGAGAGTTGGAACTAGTTACTGCTTCCAAGGCCATTTCCAGGTGAAATGACATCCCTTAAAAATCTTATTTCATATAGCACATTCTCTGTGCTGCACACTAGCTGTGCTCTCACTGCCCCCAGGAAGTTTCTCCTGCTGAGAGTAAACTAGCATGGATTCACCATCAGGCAACACAAATACTAGAGTCAAAAGGAATTTACCCATAGGGGTGGGTTCTTTAAAAGCCAAACAGTGTCAAAACCAGTTCCATGTTTTGACTGCTGTTCTGTGAATTTCAGTATTTTATCCTACATGGATCTGCTCCAGGAGCCTTGCTGGGCTCTCGGTCAGCCATGAAGAGATGATGTGGCCCTTCTCCTTCATCCTCTCCAAACACACACAGCTCTGATCTAATGCAAATAACAGCTCTTCTTTCCCCTTTCATTCCTGTTTTTCAGAAGGACTACCTCTTTTTTTTTTTTTTTTTTCTCCCTATGCAAAATACTCTCAAGAGCGATGCTAATTCAAAGCATAATAATCACTGGCTAGGAACGAAGCACATTAGCATAAAGCCATGACAGTTTTAATACAGCAAGAATAAAACCAGACCATGATGCAAGAAGCAAAAGCCAGATTTGAGTATTCATTTTCTGCTACATCTTTCCTTTGAGTTGGCCAGGTTTCTCTGCCTTTTTGACTCCTAATGACTATTGACTATCTGTGGGCTGTGACACCCACTGCTGACAGCAGGCTCTGTGGGCTGGTTTCACACCCTTGCTGTTCCCAAAAGAGGTGGTACTTGCACACATGTAAACCATTCCAGGCCTAAGCATTTTTTGCCTTCAGAGAGAAGGGCAGTCCCATCTTGAACAGTTTGCTGAATTAGGAAAAGGAAGTGGTGCGTCCATTGGTGTCACACTGGAGTCACACTGCTGAGGTCTTGTCTTTTGCTTTAGCATCACAAATGTGATGATTACAGGTTACTTTTGATGCTGATTCTCTGTGCTTTTGGGAACTTGTTCTGATTTACTGCAGACCCGCAAGAGAGATCTTGCAGAAAAACAGGATACTGGTACCTGCACTCATGGCAAGAGGGTGATGCTCTCCTCTCTCACTTCCTTCTGTCCCAACTGTCATCCCAAAATAGCAATGGGGAAACTAAATAAGAGATTGGGTTTTTGTTTTTTTTTTTTGCTTGTGAAACAGTTCTTAAGATTGCACTGTAAACTTCAAGACATATGAAGTTTACATAGATTGGAGGGCTTAAGCAAGACCTGTGATGCTAATTAAAAAAAATCAAAAATAATTTGTGATTTAAAAGAAATGTTGCCAAAATGATTAAAACATACTTCCGAGACCTAAAAAAGCTACAAGGTCTGAAAGCTGATTTCTTTCCCTATTTTTTTTTCTTCTCATTTTGCAGATAACCTTTATTTTGATTATTTTTTAAAATAAAGCTACTTTAAGTTTTGCTGGTTGAAACATATTGCATGAATGCCTGATGGAGAAAACTAGCAAGTCATGGAAAAGCATTGTGAAAAGCACTTCTTCACAACAGTCAATTTCCAGCCTTAGGAAAAAGAGGCCTGGCCAAGTTGGACATGTTCTGTGTGTTCTTATGAACTTCCCACATCTTTCATTAGGACACTGATTTCTAGAAGGTCCAGTGAGAAATATAAACATCACGTATTTTCTTGCTTTGAGCAGTGTAGGAGGCAGTTCTAGGTCCTCTCAAAGAAAACACACTGTACACAGTTCTGTCAGAGAACAAATTCTGTCATTCCAGTGTCTGTCTGGGAATCACAGCCTCTATTAATGCTGCCAATATATAACAGTCCAGGTTCCATCTTAGAAAAGCCACTTTTTCCCATTCAGGTACGCAGCAATTTTGGAAGCCCACCTATTCCATCTGTGATCTTGAAGATTTCCTTCCCTGCTTGTAATCACACCC